ATTCATAGGGTTTCTCTCCAGTATGGCTTCTTTCATGCCTTTGTAGACGACTATGACGTGCAAAGGCTTTACCACACTGATTACATTCATAGAGTTTCTCTCCAGTGTATGTTCTTTTATGAATTTGAAGATGACTGTGATGTAAAAAGGCTTTACCACACTCATTTTCTTCATAGGGTTTTAATCTAGTATCTGTTTTTTCATGACTGTGAAGATGACTGTCACAGGCAAAGGCTTTAACACATTGAGTATATACAGAAGTTTTCTCTCTAGTTTGACTTTTTTCATGCCTACAATGATAATGGAACATGTGAAAGCATTACTACATTTAATACATTGTTGAATATTTTATCTCTATAAATTAATTTTACAACTTAGCACTATTTCAAAGAGGAATTATATGTTAAGAATTATATGTTTATAATCTTGTTTTTCCCCTTCATTAAAGCGTGCTTTTTATCTTTGAAGACAACTGATAACAGTCTTTATTACATGGTTCACATTTACAGAATCTTTTTCTCTGCACAAGAATTTTCATATATTTGAAGAGAACTGAAAAAACTCAGAGCTTTACCACTCTTATTGCATTCATAAAGTTTCCTGTACTGCGAGTGATACTACATTTGCTAAGTGAACTAGGACAAACAGAAATATTTACACAGTCCTAGTACTCATGGTGTTTTTCTGAAATGTGAGCTTGTTGATATCTTAACAATGAGACTAGAAAACCAATTACTTTTATACTTGTACATCAAATTCAACAAGTATACTCAACATGGGGACTGCTACATATCTTCTATTTGTTCTGAGAGAGAGAGGTATGTTATATCTTTTCACATCCCTATGCTCATGTGGCTTGTATCCAGAGTACCAGAAGATATACCTAGTAAAGGAAGAATAACAAATATAAGGTTTCCACATTGAGATCACACAGTTTGACTTTCTGTCCTCATAGACTTGTGGTATCTGGATTAAGTCTTCCACACAACAGTTGCCCCTTGATTCGGGACTCTAACTGCCTCCTCACTAAACTTAACAAGCATATAGGTTACACTACCCTTTCTATAGACTATTAGTGTATTGGTGAGTTTTAGAGATATACTTATCACCTTTTCAACATGTGTATCTTTTATAATATGAATAACATGAAATAAAAGGATTGACGATTTTACAGTATAGCTCTCATTGTATTATGATTCAAATGGTAATAAAGGTTAAGAGATTGTTTCCTTGACTTCTTTCTTAAAAGAATGACTTGCAAATGCAGCCTACCTATCTAAATATAACTTTGTGAGAATTTAATAATCATCAATGTACTTATTATTTACACTCTTGTTTTTGTTTAAAATATATAGGATACATTACAAATTCTTCAGAGGTACATTTGTATCAGCTTATACATGAAAATTACCTTGCATGTCTTCTAGAACTTTGACAATGTTCTTCAATGTTATGGTCTTCCCAACTGTATCCTAAAATATAATGCCAGAAAAATATATGTAATATATCAAAACTTGTAAAAAAAATTTAGTTACCACTTGAAGCAAACTTTTAAACTATGTCTGAATTACCCATTCTTCTTTCTCAATCATATTACAAAAGAGCATCATTAACCAATGAACAGTTGTCCCCTTATTTTAAACATGAAAGATACTTCAGTCTTACCTATAGCAGTGAGGTTTCTGTAAGTCTCCAGCATTACATCTTTGTAGAGACTCTTCTGTGAAGGATCCAGCAAAGTCCATTCTTCCCAGGTGAAGTCGACATGTACATCATCATAGGTCACTGCATTCTAAAATATCCCATACATGGATACAACACAAAGCATGAGTTTGACAACACAGTAAATATATACTTCTTTGACAGTATAGTCATATAATTCTGGTGCTCCTCATACTTATTCCATGGCATAGACATCATAATTTAATCACCAAGTCACTTTAGAAGCAAACTTAATAGGAGGTTCACCTCTGCCATTTCTGAACCCTTTTAATGGATTATCATCTTGCAAGAGAAATGCCTACTAACCAACAATCAGAGAGACATAAACAGATCAAGAGTACAGAGTACAGATAAGAGAAATTGTATGAATGATTAAATCCTAACTACAAAAAAGAAAAATGAGATGAAAAAATTGGATGCATGGAATCATGCCTCTAATCATTGCACTCAGAAGGCAGAGGATGTATATCAATCTGCCTTTGAGTTGAATACCAGCCTAGTCCATGCAATCACTTCTAGGAAAGCCAGAAATACATATTAAATACCTGTTTCAGATGAAAAAATGATCAAATAAACATAAAAGATAGAAATAACATATAGGTTTGTGCTGAAGTTTCAACAAAGAGTTATGCATTCACCTCAACTCTTTATTCATCTACCGGAAACCTGAAGTGCCCCAATTTAAACTGCAACATAAATAAGATTTTACTAAAAGGCACTGTGTGTTTAAAAAGTTACAAATGGACAAATGAAAACAACAGCAATTAATATGCTCATTACAAATAATCAACACAGAGCAGGAAAGATGGCTCAAGAGTAAAGAGTCCTCCTAGTCATGCATACAGGTGGGCTCAAGGACTTACATGGGGCATCATAACTATCCATTATTCCAAGTTCAGGGTTGATAGTACCATCTTTGGATCAATGTAAGGACCAGGTACTCACATGGTACATATCCAAGCATACAGGTAAAATACTCTTTTTAAAATCAAAATTCAAAACAAAAACAGGCAGGAAGAAGGTTATCTACCTACAATCCAATGACTCAGCAGGAACAGGCAGTATTAATGTCATGAACACATGCCATCCTGGGAAACATAATGATACCCTCTGTCAAATTTTGAAATTCAAGATATAGGTGAAGTTCAGTATAACAGCATATGTTTGATAGGAACAAAACCATCATATAACAATTTAAAAACAAAAAAGCCAAGAATGCTGGCTCACCTTTAATCCCAGCACTTGGAAGACAGAGTCAGAGGATCTCTGAGTTTAAAGCCAGCCTGATATATAGAGCTACTTTCAGAACAGCTACGTCTACACAGACAAAACTTGTCTTCAAAAATAAACAAACAAAATTGAAAACAGTAGGCTACCAAGCCACCTTAGCACCAAACAGCAGTTAATTCTACTGAATCTTATGTGATTTAGTGATAGAGTTTATGATGGTGTGTGGAACAGAGGCTTAAAATAAATCTCACACTACCTCAGAATTGAGAAATAGATATTTATTTAGGGGTAAAATCACAAATCAGAATTCTCTGCTTGAACGGAGAACAGAGATCGAATGCAGCAACCCAGCAATCCAAAAGAGCAGCCAGAGAAGTAAAGGAAAAAAAGGAGCAGACACAGGCTCTGCATCCACATTTATAGGATAAGAGGCCACTTCCCAGTAGGCAGGTAACCACAAGCTGTAAGATTTCCTACAGCAATGGTGGGGAAGTTATAACAGCAAAAGAAAGCTGACTGATTAGTTTCAACCACAACACAGTAGGCAGGAAATGGGTTGAGGCTATAAAAATGCATATTGTGGTTTTCTCCTCTGTATGCTGTGATTATGTTTGGTTAATGAAGGAACTGTTTTGAGACTATAGCAGAGCTATAGGACAGGACTTAGGTAGGTGAGAAAAACTAAACTGAATGCTGGAAGGAAGAAGGCGGAATCAGAAAGTCATGTAGCCCCGCCAGAGACAGATACTGGGAACTTTACCTGGGAAGCCACAGCCACGTGGTGATACACAGATTAAAAGAAAACGGTTAAATTAATATGTAAGAGTTAGCCAATAAGAAGCTACAGCTAATGGGCTTAGCAGTGATTTAATTAATACAGTTTCTGTGTGATTATTTTGGGGCCGAACAGCTAGGAACTAAGAAGTGGCTTCCCATAACAAACTGGTGTCCATGTGGCCAACTAAAGTCCACTTAAAATCTTAGAGAGATTGGAAAGGAATTCTAGACACTAAAAAATGAAGCTTAGTCACATTTATTTCCCCAAATGGGCTTTGCTTACCGGTGACATGCTGCGGCTCCCTTAAGAGAGGTTTTCCTGATTTAGAGGTAGCAGAAAAAGCTGCACCATTTTGAAATGCTGGCTTTCTGGGCAGTGCTGCCAGCACGCAATCTGACTCTTTCTGGAGGGCCAGATATGGGGTCTATGAGCAGATTGGTAATGGCAACTTAGACCTCCTGTGTGCCTGAAAATGGGGCAATGTACATGGCTCTCAAAGGCAGCAAACATGCACCTGCCATGTCAGACTGGGTGGAGCAAGCAGGCAGGCCGTATTTGCTCTACCAATGGCACAGCTTAAGTTCATAAGAAGTGCTTAGCATTTTAAGAAGCACTTCTGAACAGGAACGTGCTGCGGGAGCTCCTGCTCCTTCAGCCCATCGCCGCTGAGTTACCAGCCCATTGGGGCGTGGTCTCTCTTTAAAAAAAAGCAGTGGTTGTCCTCCTCTCTCTCTTTGGCTTCCGGCTCTGCTTCCAGTTCATAGACTCCTTTCATGTTCGCACAGAGGGGCTATTGTCTGGGACGGTAATCTGTAAGTTTTTTCCCCTTTGAATAAATAATCATTCTGTTAATCATAATTCCAAACTGGTGTGGGATTGTCTGTGACTTACGCCTTCATCTGGAGCCCCACGTTTGGTTGTAGAAACCCCCTCCCCCCCCCCACACACTCAAGTGTTTGCTGCCAGCTCGGCTAGTCACGAGCCCTCCCTCAGCTGCGGCCTGTGCCCTGTGTGTGGAGCCAGCAGTTCAATTAAACCCCACGCCTCCCAAGCTCCACAGGCTCGGGACAGTCTCTGTCTGCCTGGTTTGCTCTTTTCTGAGTTGTTTTTAAATTTCCCTTGTAAGTGCGGCGCTTTAGTGGCATGAATCAGAACGACTCGGTTACGTGGAGGTATACGTTGCTTCCGGGTTGCTTTTTTCTACCCTTGGATTCTGGGTTTCTGGTTCCGTGTATGGAATTGATTTAATTAAATTTTCTTTCTTGAGCAACTTATATTTCCTAGTTTTTGACAAATACTAAGGCGGACACTGAAACAGAACCCTGTTTCCATCACCTTTGCAGTGGTTCTAGTTGTGACTTGGCAACAGCGCCGCCTACTAGACAAGAGGTAATATGGCAGTTTTTGTTTCCAACGCCAATTTTACTGTTTTCTTTATTAATGCAATGGATTATATCATGCAAGGTTTATATCACTATGGGGATACATTAATTTACTTGTTACTAGGTTTCAGTATTCTTTTCAATATTTTAACATTAAGAAAGATATGATTTTTACGGACTAATAATGAACAACTAGTTGAAAGGATTAAAATGATTGAAAATCAGGGGTTATCTGAACAAGTGGATACTATGATAGACAAATTTGACTCCATGTCCAAGGGTACTAGGAAGTTACCTAAAGGGTGCAGACTGTTGAATTTGACGTTCAGACGTTACCACAAAGTTTTGATAAGGTAACAGAATGTACCTCCAGAATGGGAACCAAAAAACTGATACCTTCGTGAAATTCCTAGAAACACGGGTAGGTCAGGAGATTCAAGATTTAAGGGAGACAATGATAAAAAGATTAGAAATGATTGAAGAAATTATTGGAGCTGGTGAACAGAGTAAGAAGGCACAAGGGCAGGATACAATGCAACCTCCAGCTGTTAGAACTGGCTTACCCAGGGTTCTAACAACATACCCTGTAATTTATTCTGACAAAGGGTCAACTTCTAAAGGCTCAAAGGGAGTTAAAGAAGCTAGATGGACACCAGTAGCAATGAATGATTTAAAAGAAATTAAGCAAGCAATCGTTAATTATGGCTTGCACTCTGCATTTGTTAAGGAAATGATAAGGACTTGGGCTTCTAATGTCAGAGCTACCCCCCATGATTTCTCTCAGCTAGTGTCTGCAGTTTTAGATGATGGACCTTCCTTGATGTTTGGAATTTATTTCAGAGAAGAATCCAAACATATGGAACAGCAAGGAAGAGAAAAAGTGTGGAGGTTTCCCAAGATCAAATTCTTGGTGTAGGAGCATATGCTGATCCAAAGGTCCAAGCTCTTTATGACGAAGTGCTGTCCTTATGTCACAAAGCAGCCTTGAATGCTTTGAATAGAATACAAAATCCAGCAAAAAGGGTCGAATCATATACCAGGGTTAGGCAGGGACAGAGAGAACCCTTTACTGACTTTGTGCAAAGATTAATTAAGGCTCTGGACATAGGGGTAACAGACCCAGAAGCTAGATGAATACTTCTTGAATCTCTAGCTTTTGAAAATGCAAATACTGAATGTGAAAAGATAATTGGGCCTTTAAGATCTAGATCAGCACCAATGGAAGAATGGATACAGCATACAATGAATGTTGAGACATTCAGCTATAATGATAAATCCTGGGTAGGAGAAGTGATTTCCAAAGCTATGAGGAGACATCAAAGTGCCAGGTGTTTTAATTGTGGTAAATTAGGACATCTGAAAAGGGATTGCAGGCAAACAAATTCTAGGAATAATATCTCCTCTGGGAATGACAAAAGTAGACCTCAGTCTTCAGGTATATGTAGGAGATGCGGTAAAGGCCGACATTGGTCCAACGAATGCAGGTCAACAACAGACAGACAAGGCAACCCGATACCATCGGGAAACTCCTTGAGGGGCCCCTAGCAGGCCCCCAAGCTAAAAGTGGCCCAGTCATTCCCAGTTACAGTGGAAAATGTGTCTCACCAAGAAAATTAGAAACTCCAATGTCTGCCGTAAAAAGTAATACTGGTCTAAATGATGAATTACATGTGGAGAATG